AAACCGGCAAAGCCATAGACTTCCTCCGGACGGAGTACTTCACCAAAGAGGCCGGCAGCCGAGCCGAGCGCCGTGTGCCTCAGATTGCTGTGGTCATCACAGATGGCGAATCCACTGATGACGTATTGGAACCTGCCAGGAGACTGAGGCAGCACGGTGTCATCGTGTTCGCCATCGGGGTCGGAAAGATCAACCAGTCACAGCTTATAACCATGGCTAACTGGCCCTCGGAGCGCTTCGTCCTCACCACTGTCAGCTACCAGAAGCTCCAGGATCAGACCAACATCCTGCTGGAAACGGTCTGTCTCAGTCTGGAGGACCAGACGCTAGGTAAAGAAAGCTGATTGGTTGATACAGTGATCTCTTTATTGTACAATTAATTATATCTAAGAAGCACCTGAATACAGTTTTGACACAAGAATCAACAGAAAGCTGAAAATAGACATTTTGCTTGGTCCATCCTCAGCTGGGCCTCTGAGCACTGTGAGGTAGTCAATCACATGAGCGCTAGGCTTGTTGTGAAAACTCTGCATGAACTTGCACTAAAACACTTTTGCTTCTGTGTTCTTTCAGCTTTGGTCGACAGGTTTGCAGATGTTTTCTTCCTGGTGGACAGTGGAATAGCTTCCAATCAGTTTACCCTGTTTAGAAATGAGCTTGTCAGACTGTTGAATCGACTGGAAGTTGGAGCGTCTGGTTACCATGTCGGTTTGGCCCAGTACGGTCAGGACGTCAGACCTGACTTTCGTCTCAACACTCATCAAACCAAGCAGCAGATCGTGGCCGCTGCTCGACGTTTCCGACTGCGTTCACAAACAGGCCAACCACGAAATCTCGGACAAGCTCTGTCCTACGCTAAAGAGAACTTCTTCAATGCTGAGGCAGGAGGCCGCGCACAACAGGGAACCCCACAGTATTTGGTTGTAGTGGCTGGAAAAGACTCGGATGATCCTGTGTTTCGATCTGCTGAAAATCTGAAAGACGAGGGGGTAATTATTGTGGGGATGGACGCAGGTGCGACACGGGATGCTCTGGACCGCTTT